TGGACAGAATACTAAATGAAACTCTCCTTTGCCCTTGGATGCAGAGTAAATACTAAATAAATAACATTTTGTCATATGTTTAGATTTGTATGCATAAAAGTACAACACACATATTCTTGATTTTTAAAGATATTACTACTTCCAGGCACCCTGATTTAGCTGCTGACATGGTGGATGTCAATATCTTCAGAAGCATCAATGACATCAATGCCTCCAGAGCTGCACAGACTTTAATTTCCTCTCTAACAGAGAGGAAAACAAAAATCAACTATAGAGAAACTACATTTCCTGTGAAAATGCTTATTACTTAAGAACTTGCTGAAAAACAGCTGAAATTAGCTAAAAAACATGCTGAATTTCAGCTGAAATGGAAAAACGAGCCTTAATTGGCAGCAGAAATAACACATTTTTGCTGAAATAGGTATAAATTAGCAGAAATGTGCACACAAATTAGCATATTAGCTAAAAAAGATTAAATTATCTAAAATAGCTAAAATGTAGCTGAAACGGCAGAAAGAAGCTTAAACTACCAGAAGGAAGCAGAAAGAGCCGAAATGAGCTAAAAAAATGGTAAAACTGGCAAAAATAATAAACAAACCAGAAGGATGATGTGGAATTAGCTGAAAAAGCTAAAATTAGCATAAACAGCCAAATAGTAGCTGAAATAGCAGAAAAAGCTAAAACTTGTAGAAATAAGCTGAAAGGAGCATAACAAGCTGAAATTAGCAAAACGAAGTTAGAAGAAGCCCAAAAATGTTGTAGTTAGCAAAAAGAATCTGAAAGGAGCACAAAAAGCTGAATAAACAGCTGAAATTAGCTGAGAAAAAGCTTTAATTTGCACAAGGAAGCTGAAAGAAGCTGAACTGGAACAAAATGTGAACGGAACAAGATTTGAAGGATGTAAAATGAGCTCAATTCATTTTCTATGAGGAAAACATGGCAGAAAAGGCTAACTATTTCAAAACGCTAAAGTTTCAACAATACCAAAAGTCATAACAGGATTGTCTTGAAAGAATAGAAAGTTTTGACATATGACCTGTTGAAATAACTTGAAAACTGCAAGACGAGATCGCACCGAAAAATGCACGGAAGAAAAATGGATCCCAATAGTGTGAATGCTTCATAAACATTCACACTGACTTGTTTTAACATCAACTTGTTCTACTGACTCAAGTTTGAAAGTACATTCCCCCATACCAAGACTAAGGACACACAAAAACATCCCAATGCACAGTTCAGCTGGTCTACAATAACAGAAAACCAGTTCTGACAGGTTGTGTGCACGACTTCAGCCAGCGAGGCTGTGCGAGCTAAGGGGCCCATTCTATCTGTCTTAAATTAAGTGTGTCCGGCTTCACAGGAACAACGTTAGTGGGGGGTTCCCAGGGTTTGTAAAGCTCTCCGCTGCTGAGGAGAGACAGACATCTGTTTGGAGATGAAGAAGCCAACTGCAGCCTGGCAGGAAAAAAAAAAAAAAACTTAAATTTTATATAACCGAGAAACAAAAGAAAATAATAATGTGATTACACCTATGAAGCAAAGAAACAATCTAAAAAAAAATTTCTTGTTTATTTTTGGACAGATGATAAACAAAGATGATACAAAAAAGCTATATGAACCTGACTGATGAGTACATGAGGTTGGAATAGGAATTTAAAACTGTCAGAATATATATATTTATTTTAAAGACACTAGAAACTCATACAAGACCCAGGGAAGTACTGACAGTGTGGCATGAATAAAATGTTTTCCAAACTTCAAAAGCAGCACTCGCTCGCAGCAGACTGCCTCTTTGCTAAAATCAGATGCTTCATCGTTTAATTCCCACACAGCCCAGAAGACCCAAGAGGAAACCACCTGCCTGTGTTTACACCAACAAGCAGCTGCTCTCCAAAATATCCCACCTGATCCTGCCTCATGCAGTTTTACTACCACACACACACACAAACCTGTGTGCAGTGACGTCCTGTTTTGATGCTGCGCCTCGTTGGTAACACTGAGGTAAATGAACCAGGATGTTCGTTTTAGTGCCTTGGAGATGGATGGAAAAATCAACCGAGGAACGAAGAGCTTGCAAGTTGGAGCCGCCTGTTGATGAATGTGAGCGCACACTCGTGCACGTGCATCCAAACACAAAAGAGCGTGACCACGTTTCTAACACTTCGGGTGAGGTTACACCAACTCGCAGGAATTCAATGGAAACCTGATCTGTGCGCAACTACAAAACTTCTTGATACTTAAAGCACACGTCTTTATACTAAACTGTAAGAAAGAAGCAAACTTTTATTTGTTCACATTTGAATGAAACTATTGCATGTTTCTGTGAGTAGCAAGTTGGCCATCTGGCCTAAAACATTTGATGGATGTACAAGATGATTGATTGTTTTGGATGGGCGTGTTCTGCACGTGTTAAAAGCCTGCTTTAGAAATTCCAACAGGAGGTTGGCTTGAAACTAGAGTTGCATTCGGGCCCAAAAAATCCGATCCGACCCGGCCCCAGCTCGTAGCCATCATTTTCAAACACCACCTGACCCAACGAATTAGCAGTAATTACAGGTCAGAACCCGAAACACCCCCGATATTTTTAATTAAGCTTTGACTGCTTACAGTAAATTAACAGTCGGTGGACGCGCGGACCGCGTTCAAGTGAGTTTCATGTTGGACATTCGAGCTCCGTGGCTTCAGCGGTGTGTTCCTCTTGTTCCGAGTTCGGCTGACCGAAATCAGACTGCCTGCATCGGCTCGAACGAGAGGAACACACCGCTGAAGCTCGAATGTACAACGTCCAATGTAAAACTAACTTTACCACAGTGACGCACGGCTGAATAAAAGGGGCAGAAGATCGGAGCTGAGGGGGTGTTTGTCCTTTCTTGGCCATCAAAGAGCAATAAATCCCTGCTTCTGCCTGCATTCTGATTTATTTAGACACAAACCGCTCGGACATGTCTGCTTTGAGATCTCACCTGTTTGTGTCGTCAGCTGCACGCGTTCGCAGAGTGCAGCGGCTGAATGAACGTCCATTTGGGCGATGGATCCTGCCTGGAAGTATAGTCCCATCTGAAGCTTAACTGAACTTTATTTTACCTCTTTCAAGGCCGGTCAGCTCGCGGTGAAATGGTGCGTGTGGCTGGTGAAGGTATGGCAAACCCTGTTGTCATATAAATGGATATTGGATCACGGCTGATCCGCTGACATAATCAAAAGCCCGACACCGACCCGGCCCGCCCATCCAGCACATTATCATGGCCCGGCCCACCCTGAATTCTCTTCCTCTGGATGGGGGACGAAACGTTTCTCGCTTAAAGAAACTGGTCCAGATGACACGATTTAACCTTTTTTTTTTGTTTTTATATTGTATGGTATTGATATCCTAAACAATCTCCATACACAGAAACCAGTTAAGACTGTGCGACTTTGCAAGCACAGATCTGAGGCAAAAAGCTGAATTGTAACATCAGTTTACCATGAGGCACAGATTCCTGAAGTTACTCTGCATTCAAAAAGTTCAGCCGATTGATGTCGTGCACAGTGAACCTTATGCGCAAGGCAGGAGGCTTATTTTGAACTAAAACAGCGTGATGCCACAGTAGAAGTTCAAGGGAGGATCAAATTACTTAGTCCAGACAGAGCTGACCAAAAAAGCAGATACCAAATCCCAAAAGAACAAAAGAAGCAGCTTTGCTTGAATTCTGCCAACTTCTCAATAATTTATCCAGTATGAAGAACAGAAACCAACCTGCAGTGTTCAACAAAGGTCTGTAGACCCATGAAACTGTCTCATCAGTCTGGCATTGCTGGATTACTAATAATCCAATAAAGTTCAGTCTGGTCCTCTGGATGGTTGCTTTTTTTGTTGAAACGTTTCGTCCTTCATCCAAAGGACTTCATCAGTCCGAGGAGCCACAACTCAGTCCTACAAGCAGCACACTCACATAGTGGATCAACCAGTTTGGTGGTGATAAGATGATTTCTGGAGTCCGCCCTCTCTCCCGTCGACTCCTCTGAGGCAGCCATGGACGGTTTGAATCACTTTGGTCATGGCTGCCT